GAGTGAGTCAGATGGTCTTTCTCTCGTTTAAATCTTTTAGGGGATCTCTGTGGCCTCCGGGTAAAACCCTATCTCCTTAAGTTTGCTGCATAAGGCCCTCCTAATCTCCTTTTCATTTACGTCTCCTCTCCAGCGGGCTCTCCACCGCCGGCCAGTCCTCGCACCCCTCCCCGAGCGAGTTCCAAATTCACCTGAAATGCTTTCTTTCGTTGCTCTAAACGTACCCGATCTTCCCCGGCGCGGCCACACTCACCCGTCTTGTCTCCTCCTTTCCTCGGAAGTGGCGGTCTCCCCTTCCCTCGTCTATTTATTTACCCAAAGTGAGGATTAGGGGCGCCATTGCATCCCTCCCTCTACAGGGCACCCAAAGCCTTACACTCGGTCGCCTCCCATCCTGCGCCAGTGTTAGTTACACCCCAGCCTTCGAGCAGGGGATGCATCCTGTTCGCCATTGTTCCCAGTTCCCAGGATGGTCCTGGCAATACTGGTCGCAGACCAGTGACCCTTTTAGCACATACCCTGGTGGGCACAGGAAAGCAAAAATAACTAGTGGCCCCTAGGTATCTACTAATAGATTCACTTTATATTGCTGTATTTTTCAGTGTTGAATTCCTCCTCTCTTAGCTATTCTATAAGAATAACGTATTTATACACACACACATACACACACACACACATATAATTAATTAATTTTACTTAAACCAATGATGTGTTTGTCACAATTACTATAAATGTCTAATAGCAAAAATAGTGTGTGTGGATTGTGAAGTGAAATTCTGGAACAGTGCCTGGCTGTTCAATGCAAGTGGGCAGAAATGTTCCTTTTAAACTCAAGACTCTGAAACTTCAAAACTGAGCTGAAACTAATGCCCTCATTATGATTGAGGCAAGGAGTGGAAGGAAAGACTATTAAGCTCAGAGTTCTGGTTCCTTGTTTATTAGTAACTTTTAGGATAGCAATTATTGATGTTAAGAGCAGTCTGATACTGACTTTTTTTTAAAAAAAATCCTGATACTCTTGATATTTTTCTTTTGTTTACAGGAGATGTCAGTGTCACAAATTGAATTTCTCATTTTCTTTGGGTTCACTCACAGCTAGCACTACTAACGTATGTGCATTTAGATCTGTACTATTTCTAAACACCGCCCCGCTACACACTTAGCAATAAAGTTAAACAAGAATTCTTTGTTAAGAGATGTAATATTTAGAGGGTAGGATAAGGGAATAAATCTTAACTACTACAAATTGTTTCCCTTCAGCCCTACTCTGAAGGAGATCCTTGTTGGTTTTCTCATTACTGTACAACTGTTCTGTTGACTTTGTTACGTTTTTGTGGAAGAAAGTAGAATTTAGTAAGAAATAAAAAAAATTTTAAGAGAAGAGAGGGAAAGTTTGTTTCTTTAGTATAATAAGCAAAACATACATGGGATTATATATGAGTAAAAACAAGTAATGTATTTAAAGTATTTAAGTCGCCAGAACCGGTTTGGCTCAGTGGATAGAGCGTCGGCCTGCGGACTCAAGGGTCCCAGGTTCGATTCCGGTCAGGACATGTACCTTGGTTGCGGGCACATCCCCAGTGGGGGGCGTGCAGGAGGCAGCTGATCAATGTTTCTCTCTCATTGATGTTTCTGGCTTTCTATCCCTCTCCCTTCTGCTCTGTAAAGAAAAAAAAAAAAAATAAATAAAGTATTTAAGTCATAAAAATATGCATTATAATTATTTACTGTTTCTATAGAAAAGTATTTTCGTAATATGTATCATATCTGTCTATAGGACACACCAAATGATTATTATAAACATATTATAAGGGAAAAGTAAATACTGGAGAATAATTTTGAGTTTAGAAAACATTTTAGACACTAATTTGGCAAAAGTCCTGTAAATACATTTCCATTTTAGCAAACTTTTTTCAGTTTTTAAAAATCTTGCCCTGGCTAGGTAGCTCAGTTGGTTAGAGCATCATATACACCAAGGTTGTGGGTTTGATCCCCATTTAGGGCACATACAGGAGTCAACCAATGAATGCATAAATAAGTAGATCAACAAATCGATGTCTCTCTGTCTCTCAAATAAATTTTTAAAAATTGTATTTAAACTTTATGGAGTGGTGAAAAAAATTTAAAAATGTTGCCCTGGCTGGTGTGACTCAGTGGTTAGAACACCAGCCCATGCAACGCAGGGTCTTGGGTTCTATTCCCCGTCAGGGCATGTATGCATGTAAGTGGGTTGCAAGTTCAATCCTGGCCTGGTTGGGGTGTGTGCAGAAGGCAACCAATTAATGTGTCTCTCTCACATCAATGTTTCTCTCCCCCTCTTTTCCTCCCTTCCTACCTTCCACTCTCTCTAAAAACAAGGAAAAAATATATCCTCAGGTGAGGATTAACAGCAACAACAATTTTTTTTTAAGTTTATAGTGACACATTTTTAAAACAACTAACTTAAGAGTATATCTACAGTGAAATATATTTCAGCCTTATTTCAGTGTTATCAAACCTAAATAGGTGACCACTTGAAAGGAACATATTTAAGATTGCTACACTTGTTGGTTGTAGCAGTGATTTCAAGCCAATTGGGCATTAAAAATAAACTGCTGGTCCAGTAGAGATATGCCGATGGTAATGACTAGCACGAGTGTAGTGGAAAGAGGATGGGATTTGGAATGAAAAGATCAGGTCGAAGTCAGCTGAGGGGGTGACGCCTGCCTGAGTACGTCACCCTCCCCTCTGCCAGTCCACCCCTAGGGTCTCATTCTTTTGAATCCTAAAGTTTTAAATGTTCTAAAATTGCTCCTTAAAATTTAAATATCCCCGGAAGAAGTGAAGGTGGCACTTTAAGTTAACAAACACCTAAATAATATTTTTGCTCAGCAGAGATTGTTCTTATCTTGTTGAGACCGAGAAAGGGAACAAGCCCAGCCAGTATGGCTCAGTGGTTGAGCAACAACCTTGAACCAGAAGGTCATGGTTTGGTTCTGGTCAGGGCACATACCGGGATTTCTTTGGGTTGCAGGCTCGATCCCCAGTAGGGGGCGTGCAGGAGGCAGCCGATCAATGATTCTCTCTCATCATTGATGTTTCTATCTC